CGGCGTAGTTGATGGCTTCGGCGAAAGTGGGCGTTATGCTAAATCCAGAGTGATAGGCGCCCGGGTAGACGACAACCATCTGCCAAGCCTCTTGCATAAACCCCATCGTTGGGACGCCTTGGCTCCGCAGGTGCTTGATTCCGCAGTGCAGCGCTTGGTGCCGCAGGAATTGGTCATGGTCGGCCTTAACCCCCAGTACGTTGCTGAACACCTCGGTTGCTTTATTGCATGATTTTGGCTGGATAACGTACCACACTTTCTTCCCGTAGTAGAGATAATTGAGGGCACCCAGCTTGTAGTCTTCGAAATGCCACGCAAATGGTGCATGCTTCTTCCCTCGGTAGGCGGTTGGAGTGTGGAGCCCGGGTACACCTTCTGGAGGCAGTTTGTTACCCCGGATTCGCCAGATTGGGCTTTGTGGAGGTAGGAGAGCATCTCTGCGTTCTTGGGCAGTGTGTGCTGGAATGTCAGTTTGGTAACCAACACCTTCGATGCTTTGCAAATTCTTTTCGGAAGCTTCCGAAAGGAGCTGCTCATACTCCTTGATAGCGACACTAAGGTCGGAATCGAAATTGCTTGGATTGCTATCGAAAGCAGGGAAGGATTGTATTGCGCGCGAGGTGAAAAGCTGCCAAAAGCCGTCGTCCTTTACCGGCTTCGGCCCGTAGATTGTGCATCGTTTTTTCTGAACCGTTTGTTGAGGAAGCACTGGTCGACACTCCATCGGGGTGTCGATAAGGAATGCACCTTGCGTTCGTGCTCCAAGTTCCTCAGCGACAGTAACGAGCAAAGGGCTGCCATCTTCTGGGCCTTTTTTAAGGTCCGAATATTGCTCCGGTGTTGGCAGGAGCAGCAGGACCCGACCGTCATCGCAGGGCATCCATCGGTATTTCACGCCCTTACAAGCGGCTGGGCCGTTGACGCCTCGGCCAGACATGGGCGGGGGCGCCGACTCGTCGGGATCAGAAGGCGACGGCGAAGCAGCCCGTGCCTTCGTCGGCGGCACCGGTCCGCTAGGGAGAGGCTTTCGAGTTGGCTTCTTGCCTAGCAGGGCAAATTTGGCCGAACTGAAAGACCCGGCGGACTGGTGATGCTGGAGAGCAGAGCCATCGCCTCCAAGGTCTTCGACCATGGCATCGTCTCCGTT